ATTGATTGATTTTAAGTAAAAGAAACAGGAAGTTCTTTATTTTCACAATAAAGTGCATCTGGGAGGGGAAGGGGGTGAGGGGGAGGGAACCTGAAATGAAGGATAATGATTTTTCTCTACTTCATTCTGCGGTGTGATAACACATCAAGCATACAAGAGTGCATTTTTTTCTTGCCTCTTAATTGAACTGTTTTAGCTCCCAAGAAGCATGGTTGGTTTCCATTTTCAAAGGAAGTTTCAGGGTGCTGTTCCCTTACTAAAATTTTGGAGTGAAAACAGTCAAAAAGTAACAACATTGTGGGTCAGACCTATACTTCAGGGTATCTAGCATCTGCCAAGTTTTAGAATTATTTTTTTAGAATAAGACAAATGGCTGCTTTTAGTTCAGATCAACTTTCCCATTCACTGGCTGCGATCAGAGAAATTTTAGCAATCCCTATAGGTGCTTGGATGAGAGAAGGTGATAAGGATGCAAGTAGATGTTCAGACTGGTAATTATCACATCTTAAAGCACAGTGTCTTCCGTCCCTCTTGCAAAGAGCTAGAAATAAGCTGTATGCAGATATCTCATAAAATATTTCTTTTCTTTTGACAGTTCTGTTAGAAGAAGAAACTGTCAAGACATCTGGACCAGTATGAAAGTGGATTTTGTAATTAGCTTTAAGAACTAGGCCAAGCATCTAGCTTCCTGCAAATAAGACTTTTTTTGTTTTTGTTTTTGTTTTGTTTTAAGCAGCATACATCTTTGGAGTTAGCCTATGTTTTTGACACCACCATCACTTTAAATGCCTTCCTGTAGTTACTAGTCAGTAGGGCCAGGTTGCTCAGTTGTATGGTGTACGTTAAAATATTTTTTTCATTTTTATAAGTAAGTTGACATTAAACTTTTATTGATAAACTTCTGGTAACTGGTTTGTGTTTTCTTAACTCTGTGAATAATGTACCATTTTTTTTTTTTTTACAATCTGTAACACACCCAACAGAAATACCCAACTTTTCTTCCTTTGTGAAAAATGAAATTGAATTTGTTTCCTATCAGCATATTCCTGATGATTTTGTGGAGAAAAATGAAAGCTAACCTTTGTTTCAATTATATTGGACCTAACGTGATATACTTGCAAATGGTTGGCTATCTGGTGTGTACATAAAAAACCCTATAAAATAGTAGGTGAAGTCTGTTTGTGAAGTTTTGAACTTTATAGACCTTTTCTGTTTATTTATATAACTTCTTTTGCAATGGTTGGATAAGTTTTGGTTATGTAATCCATATCGATCAGTTCAATGTATTATACTGCCCTAGAGCTTGTATATTACTTTTCAGCACTATATTTTCATTCTAGAGAAATAATTTAAATAGTTTGTTGAATGTGATCTGACTGTTTTTGTTTGATACCTGAATTCATTTTAGCCTTTTGTAGATGAGTAAATGATTCTTGTGATGGGCTGCTATCATGACAGAAGGTAAACAAGTTTATCCAAAGGTAAACTGGCTGGAGAATTAATGAGTCTTCATCAGTTCAGACATATTAACTTAAATTTGATATGCAGAATAAATAATAACAGTAATCATCAAACCAGAGGCCAGAATAAGTAAGTAATGGTCTTTTGCCACTCAGGTTGATAGATTGTCTTGTAAAAATATATTTTCTGAAAACTCACCTTTTTTAAAACAATTTTTAAATGCTATGGAACAAAACTAGTCTCAGTATTTTACAATATTATTTCATTATGCCGGTCTTTGTATTATCTGTTATGTATGTAAGCCTGAGGTGTGGAGGAGGTCTGTCCTAGCAGTGGCTGGGGAATGTGTGGGTAGCTATTGGAGAATAAATTACTTTGGAATAGGTAAATAGGAATCCTTCTTTTTTTTGTCCTGATAGACTTGCATCCACATGAGTATGAGACACCATGTTAAATTCTGATAACAGTTTAGCTCTGAAAGCCAAGAAGTAGTTTGCAAGTTACTTGACTTGTTTTAAAAAAAATGTAGTTAACTTGGGCTGGAGGAAAAAGTCTGTTCTTCCAAAAAAAGAAATTGAATTTGGATAAGAATTTAGCTTGTTTATATCCTAGTTTAAAAAGAAAAAATTACTCAAATGTTTCAAAGGTCTTTATATAATTTATAAAAAGACAGTTTGGACTCTTAGTTGATCAGCTCTAATTTGAAGTTTTTTATAACATTAAACCAAGTGGAAAAGTGAAGAGAGAATACCCTACAATTAAAAACCTTGACAGAACTGCTTCCTTAATTATGTATCTGGAGATTTTGAAGTTATCCAAGATAGCAACAAACTGACTTAATTACAGCTGTTCAGTGTCAGTATCTCTGCCCTTTTGTTTTAGGGCACTTTTAAGAGGACAGTTCCAAGAAATGTGTTAAGCAAATGTAGTCATAAATTGGGTGCCAGATGGATTCTGACAGTGGTGGCAATCTGAGTTGTTTATAGAATAGGCACAGTTTTCTCTATGCAGATTCCCCGATACTCTGTCTAACCTTATCCTGCTCCTATATCTTATGAGTAGCCTCTCTTCATAGGAGAATGCAATAGTAACTCACTTTTCATGACTGCTCACTGGTGTGAGTTTCCCCATAAGTTTGAATGTTGTTACTGTGGGCATACCAGATGGGAATTGGAATGAAACACTTTCCTTCTTCCCAGTTCTTACTACCTACTTCATGACTTGACCATACAAGTATTAAGGTAAATAGTTATTTGCCCAAACAGCAGAAGATGAAGCCCTAGAGCTGTGTCCAGGCATTTAAATTCTAAAAACCTTGGCTCATCTGCTGCTTTACTTCTGAAGGTACCTGGACCTGGACTCCATGGGGACCTTTTGGGGGAGAGGGAGGGGAGTTCCTTTTAAAATTTTCCCAGGTGCCCGAAGTTCTACTTCTGCAATACTTAAAAGCTCCTTGATAACGGTTGCAAAGTCTGTTTTTACATTTAAGCAGTGATTAGATGGAATATGCGAAGAGTCCTTGGAGATGCAAAGGTCTTCTACTTCACATATGAGTATCTTTGAGTCACTTTGCCCGTTTTCTGTCTCTCTGGCTCAATGATTTTTTTTCCCTTATATGGTAGAACAGTCTGAGTTGGAAGACCAGAGGGTACTTTCTGCTTTCCCTCTTTGCCTCCTCCCCCCCTCCCCCACAGCTGTCTCCAGACAGTCTATGGCAGTGATTTTCAACCTTTTTGGATTTAAGGTACCCTTTTTTTTTTTGGTTTTTTTGACTCAAGGCACCCCTCCATAACATTTGTGAATTGTGTGGCACCCAATATCAAAAACTAAGTTATGCTACAGCACTGTACCTCCTTTCTGAGGTGCCCAGGTAGTGGGGGTTGGGGATCAGCCATACAGAAATGAGCCTGAATCTGTGATTATCTACTTACCTCCTCATACCTTGTGGCACCCTTCAAAGGATCTGCTGACACTTTCATTGAGAATCACTGGTCTGGTAAAGCAGAGCCTCCAAGCAAGCTGAAACTCTCAAGCAGTGGAAATGATTTGAACCATGGTAGTCTTCATCATGGGGAACTGCTGTAATGATTAAGCTGCTGAATAAAATGGAGGGGCTGGTGTCCTTGCTCTGAGTGTTTTGAAAGAAGTTACAAAAGGTTATGACTCCTGAATAAATAGAAGCTTCCTGGTAGCCAGAAGCTGAAGCACCCAAGTGCTGGAGAAGAGTGAGCTGTCTGACCAAGCAGCTTTCTGACCAGCATGCTTGCCTTGGGGATTCTTAAAAGCCTGCAGGGATCTATCCTTCTCAAATACCTTTTCCCCCATGCATGGTATAGGGAGTCTGCATCTTACCTAGGTAGCAGTGCTCAGTGTTGTGGCACAAAAGTGTTTAAACCTAACTCCCAGCTTTTGCTGACTCAGAATTTAAATTCAATGGTCAAAGTCATGCAGTCCCATAAATGATAATGTGTTTAATCTAGAAATGATCAGTTGATACCATTGACCTCTACACGCAGTTTCTCATGGAATGGGCAATAACTTTAATGTTAGTGAAGTATTAATGTAACACCAAGTTGGTTCAACATTTTATAAGTGATTTAAGTTAATTCAGTGTTTCCTGAGCCTTGTGGGTATATGCCCCAACATAGTAAAGTTGGGCAATCTCATCCCCCCCCCCCACTTCAACCACTGCTTCCCTCACCACCAGTTCCCCCTGCTGCCATTGATTGCTTGTAATCAGTAGCAGGGGAATTGGTAGCAAGAGGAACCAGTGGTGGTGGTGGCTGAGGTAGGGGGACATGAAAATACCTGACTTCACTACAATGGCACTGCATATTGTGGTTATGATTTGCCCAACTACATGGGGGAGGGGATTTGCTCACATCCCACAGTTTGGGAAATACTGGGTTTATTCAGCACTTTTTATAGTACACTCCTGTCATATTTGCCAAACTGAGAGCCTTTTCATTGCAGAATACTCAACAGTTGTCAAGTGCAATTGGGGTGAATTCATTTTTTAATGATTTCACATTAAGGCAGGTGCACTGGGTATTCTCCCTGCCACCAGTGGGCTTCTTTTACTGAAGGGATATTTAAGTGTGTCATTCTCCCGTGACAGATCTTATCATAACTTAAAATATGTAGCCTGAATAATTTTGCTATATAAGTGTTGTGTGGCACTCCCTTGAATTGTACTCATTTGAATTGGAATTTAAAGGTAACAGTGTGGTTAGTATCAATTGATGTGTTGGCTGGAGGAGTCCATACAATTTTAATATCATTTTAACAGATCCATGAAAAGAGCAGTCTTTAACAATGTGAATTTTCTGTGGGAGTTATTGGTATATAAAGTGCAGACATTTAAGAGTGCATACCAGTGGCCTAAAAGGTTATTGTAGCTTAATGATATCCTGTGGTTTGATAAATGCTAAGGCAAGCCAGCAGCATTTATTTTCAAGACAGGATATGTTGATCCTGTGACAGTAGTTTTGCTTTAATTATATAAAACTTGTATAAATGACTGTTTTGTCCTCCTATTAGTATACTAACACTTATGAAACTAATTTCCAGTTGAGTGCAACTGAGATTTGGCCATTATAAAACGTGCATGCATTTTACCAAACAGAAACTTATGTATAGTTTTGAATGATAGTGATAGGAATTAAAACAAGTGCACTGTCTTGTGCAAGTTCCATTAATATTTAATATGGTTTAAATTAAAATAATGTAATGCTAATATTTCATATTTTTACAGAATGATGTCAAGATGTTTAGGATCAACACTGCATTTCTTATTTGAATTGAGGGGGTTTTAACTAAGCTTAAAATTTAATGAAAATATAATTTCCCGGCAATGATGTTCCCTCTAACCATGTGATAATACGGAGAAAGAAGAAATGGAAGCTGATTTTTTAATTGTCCATTTGCTGTGAAATACAGAAAATGAAAACAGATAGTAGATACAATCAAACTAGATACTGCATTTACTCGAATCCAAGATAAGGTTGTTCCCTGTGCCCTCCCCCCACCATTCAACATGGGTGGGGGTGGGGGGAATCCCCTTGTCTTGGATTTGAGTACAAGAAAGAGGAAGGGAGGTAATGCATCTGTTGTGGTCTGACTGGCCCTGAGCCCAGGTCAAGCCCAGAAGTCAGCTGCAGCATCTGCCTGCCCTGTATAGCCTTCTCCCTAGGGGCCATGCAGCTTTGGCCATGCAGCAGTGGTAGCAGCAGGTCCGGCCTGAGGGAATGGAGCTTCCATGTGCTCCATGACCTAGGATGAAATGGAGCTAGAGCTGTACCTAACAGTAAGCCACAGTAAGAGGAAGCGGGGTGGTGGTGGCAGAATCTCTGGGAAGCAGGTGAGGGGGATAGGTGCAGAGACTGGGCACTGTGGGGCAGGGGATGCAGTAGGTTTCAGTGGAGACAAATAAGGAGCAAGGAG